TAGATAGATAGATAGATAGATAGATAGATAGATAGATAGATAGATAGATAGATAGATAGAAATAGTCAGATGATATATAGATAGATCGGTAGGTAAGTAGGTAGATAGATAGACAGGTAGACAGGTAGGTAGGTAGACAGGTAGGTAGGTAGGTAGATAGATAGATAGATAGATAGATAGATAGATAGATAGATAGATAGATAGATAGATTAATCCTGAACAGCAAAATAAAATCAATAAAGAACAAACTAAAAATTACCTTCAGTTCTTTGAGATGATTGTATCCCAGGTGTATTTTCTTCAGGTTGTTTGAGATGAGCGGTGGTACAGACTGAACCCTAAAGCACTGCACTGAGGCTGCTTGCTCACAGATGCAGTTTTTTGGACAGATGTGGCTGCAGTGGGCATGTTGACTGTAGAGTAAGACACACAGAAAAAGGCAGAATATCATCATTCTGAGAAAACAGCTTCAAACGCTTCTGTGCTGAAGCAGCAAGATTTTAAGTGTCTGAGGCTTAAATAGCTGAGCCAGATTCACCCTTGTGAGAATAAGACTCCTCTGCTTTGTTTGAAACAATGGCTGAGATCATTTTCTTGGTTAGAAAACAAAATTCGACACCAGCAAGGAACTGACATATCAGCAGTAGAGAGTCCTGTCTGTTTGCAAATGTAAGAAACTTGCTGATAAACTATTTACAACCTATTAGTTAAACAAATGCATTTCTTCTGTATAAATGCGTTGGCCTCTCTTTGCACTCAGGAATATTAACTTCACAAAAGTAAGTTTTAAAACCAAAAATGTATAAAAATTTTATATTTTGGACTACTGGATTAAAAAACTACTAACATTACTGACTGTTTTTTTTTTATAGCATAAAGTTTTAATTTCTAAAAAGCTTAAAAAAATTAAATGAATCAATGAATAAATTAATAAATAAATAAATTCATCCATTAATAAAGGTTGGGTGGTGCAGCAAATAATCACAAATCTCTGGTTATTTGAGCCAAATATGATATCATAATCGATTAATTTAACATTTGATAGTATGTCATTAGCAGTGTTATTTAGTATCACTGAGATACTATTGTAGTTTTATTAATATTTTGAATCAGTTTTTATTTTAATATTTGCTATGTTTATTTTACTTTTAAAGTTTTAGTAAATTTGTTGTTTTTGTACACGCGCGCACACACACACACACACACACACACACACACAGTATATACATATAGTTTTTATTGATTTTATTTCGGTTTTAGTTTTAATCAAATTAAACTAAATTAAAACGAAAAAGTTTGCCTTTTTATATTTTATTTTATTTCAATTACGTTTTTTAAATTTAATTTTAGTTTCAGTTTTAGTTCATTATAATAACCCTGGTAGTTAGTTTAAAGGTATTATTATTATTTCATCATAATGTTCTCTAATTCAGACTTACATAATTATACGGTTTTCCTAAATATTACAACTATTAAACAATATTAATAACAGAAACCACGCGTGTATAAGCATTATTAACACTTGCAAATATATTATACAGTTCAACAACTAATAAAATGATAATAACTACTGTATTTATATTATGCCACAGACGGTGTTATCTGCTGTAAATTCCCACGAAGTAATTGAGGAGATCTGACGTACTCAGTAATCGATTCGCTCGTCTATCGACGGCCTTCTTCATTGACGGGCCTCATCGTGTGGCAGACCAAACTAATCGATCCACGCTGTTGATTTCTGCGATCTCGGATTTCCTGGTCAGATGAGAGCACGGAAAACACATCAACAAATCATCACTCTCACTCTATCACATCGGAAGTCTATTGTTAATATAACTTAAACGGCCGGGTGATCGCCCCGAGTAAAGGACTAGTTTCAAGTTATCTGTGTGGTCTCCCTGTATCCGTGTTAAAGATGTCTGCGTCCGCTGGCGGTGCTGTATCTCCGGGCTCGGCCCTCTCACCCGGTCCCGCTGCGGCTCCCGGCTCCGGTATGTCCATGTTCCGATGGCTGGAGGTGCTGGAGAAGGAGTTTGACAAGGCGTTTGTGGATGTGGATATGTTACTGGGAGAGATCGACCCGGATCAGGCCGATATCACATATGAGGGCCGACAGAAGATGACCAGTCTCAGCTCATGTTTTGCTCAGCTGTGTCACAAATCCCAAACCATCTTTCAGCTCAACCACAAACTAGAGGTGAGGAAAATAAATGGATATTCTTCTACAAAGTCTCCAGGCAAAGTTGTTGTTCTTTCGTTTACTGACATAGGAACTGCATGGGACTGACCCACTAGTACTTAGTGTCAGAATAGATGATTATAATGGCTGTTAAGTCTTTAATGACTGATTTTTTTATTGTATTCTACATGAATTATTTCTGAATTGGTTATGAATGTTCTCTGAATTTTCAGCTTCATGTTTCAGATGGATTTCGAACTACTACCAATCTACACTCACCAAAAGTACCATGTAAATATAGCATTGACACATAAATATAGCTTTTACTACCATATACATGGTACTTTTTGAAAGGGGCGGGATTCGCATGGTCTTAGAAAACTTGGAAATATCAGGGAATTTTTGAAGTGTATTTTCCACACCTGGAAAAGTCACGGAATCTCAATATGTCATGGAAATTTCTATAGTGATTTCAGTTTTGCAATAACTGCAACGTTTAATTGGCTGTAAATTGTTCTTTTTTGAGTGTAAAATCAATGTAAAAAAACACTTTGGCAATAAGGAGTGGGAACCCTGAAATGAAAACTGCTCGATAATGTTGAAATATTATATGTATAGATGTCAACGGTGCATCATTTGCATTTTGAATGATTAATTTCGATCCTGGTATTCTGTTTCAATAATGTTCTTGTTGCGTAAACATTAGGTTTTCATTCCACATAGCACATTGCAAAGCTTTTGAGACGTAATTGCAGTGCGCTTCTTTTGGTCAATAAATAAGGCCTACAGTACAGTTAATCTGGTTATCGCACAATAAACCCAACAGGGTGATCAAAACCCCTTCGCAAAGCAAGTCTTGTACGTCTTGTGCATAATTAGTGTGAAAGTTTTACATTTGAAAGTTTGGCAAATTAGCTTCTTTGCATTGTCAAAATAAACCGTATAGGCTGAAAATGGTCAGAAAATTAGATGAACTCATGTCACTGAATGGCCTGTTATGTTCCCTTCAGTCTGCTCGTCACTTCATGTAGGCTGTCTGATAAATAATGCATATGTGCATTGAAATTAATGCACTTGTCGTTTTGTTTCTTTCATTTTTCTCTGGACACACAGATGGCAGTATCTGGATGTCAACTGCATAAACATTAAAAGTTGCCAGTTCAGTATCACATTTCTTTATCCACTGGAAATGCTTTGCATATGGTGCAAACCGTGTTGATGTAGTCACAAAACTAGGTGGATAGCATATAAAAAAACCTGTTAAACCTGCTTAGCTAATGCCAGACTGGTCATTCTTCTGTTTAAACTGACTGCAGTGCATCACATAAATGATCCCTTAACTTTAACAGCAGCATAACATGCACTTATGTGCCAGGTCATGTTTGTATTAAGTATTGTTGCTGCTGAGCTCCACTATCCTATGCTTTTTCTGTCACACAGTTTGGATAATTGGCATCTTGTCTGTGTGTTAGCAGATTCCGGCTTCTCAGGAGACCAGCTCGGGTAATCTGCTTTTCCCACCACTTTTCAAATCTGTTAATGGCTCTTTATCAAAGCTTACAGTCCAATTTGAAAAGCAGTATAATCTTCCACAAGGGAAATGAATCGTCTTTGCCGTGGAGGAATCACTTGAGTCCAGGAGATAAAAATTCAAAATTGTGACTCGCCGGTATATTTGTGTGGGAGGCTGAATTTCTTTCTGAAAAAGTAGTTTAGCAGGTGAAGAGGTCGCACATACACCCACCTCTTCACCGTCGCAGCTGAGCAGAGCAGATGAACGCACGGCTTGATTAAACACTCCCTGCTGTACAAGAGGAGAGTTGGATGTGACAGTGAAGATTACAGCTTCCTGTCCTTAAAAAAGTACTGTAGCGGTACTATGGCACAATGATGATACCATTTCATGCTATTTATGTACATGGTAAGGTACTATTTAGATGGCCTTGTCAACCCGTAATGTGATGCATTGCTGAAAGAAGCAGGATTTTTGATAGGGATTTATACCAATTAATTTTTTGTCATTTCGAATTATGTTTTAGTGGGGGTGCCTTAATTAGTGTGCTGTGCATTAGCTATTAGAAAGTTTTCACAGCAAACATCTTCCGTGTTCGGAAATGAATGCCATTTAAAACACTGCCAGTAGACATGAACATTCAGATAGATGTTTTTTGGTCACTGCATTGCGTCATTCACTTTTTTCGGCATCTTAAAGTTGCGCTGAAACAGAAGCAGCAACAGATTTTTCTTCTGAGATTGTGATGCACATTTGAGTGAAATGGATTATTAAAAAAAAAAAAAATGTATGGTGCGGGCCATGGTTCTATCCATTAGTTGTTGACTGGATGCAGGCAGATCTGAATGTGAGCTTGTAGTTGGTTGTAAAAATGGGAAAGGGCTTACACAGACTAAATAATTTGAGAAATCCAGCAAACGTCACCAGAGAGAAGTCTGTAGTTTCACTGGGAGATCGAGTTATGACAATTTGTTTAAAAAAAGAAACATGCATGGATGACTTTATCGCAATTAGATCATAAAACAACCATTTAAACATTTTCGGAATTCATATTAATGCTGACTTTAATAAATCATGCATAATAATTCTACAAACATGGATTAAGACAGTAAATAGGGTCAATTTTGATTTCATGCTGACTTAAAAATCTACTCCTGTGATGTCATTTTCCAAAGGATCCATCCAAATATCTGTACCAAACACCCTCTCTGAAGGCTGCTACTCTATAAAAGGTCTCGGCCTGCAACAATGAGGCATTTTTCTCTAGTCATAGGCTGCAACTACCTTGAGGTACTTTGGTGCCATCGTTTCAGTTGCATTGTTAAGTTCAGGGAACATATTCGATTTTGCTAGTAGAAGTGTTGTTACAGAGTATATGGACTTACTAGCATTTTAAAGTAGATTGTCACTTTTTATTGGGACGGGCTGCAGTGGGAATCTAAAGTATTCAGAGTAGGGCTGTCAAAAAAAAAATTCGAATTTCGAATATTCGTCGAATAAAAAAAAAAAAAATCCACATTCGAATGCAAAAACGTTGCATTTGAATTTTAGGTCTGCGTCAGCCATCATGCAGCCTTATCAGTGGCGCACGAAATGTGACGACAATGTAAGTGTCATTGCATTTTAATGCTTTTGTTAGCCTATCCAGTTGAACCCACTAGAAACTGTTCATTAAATTTCATCTTCCTCTTTCTAATGTTTCCGCTTCCCTTCAGAAGAGCATGCTCTCATCTGACACACTCATCAACAACCACAGCCATGGTGAATAATGACATCCCGTCCCCATTGAAAGGCCCTGCCATTAGAAAGCAGCTCTCAGCATCTCAGCCTCTTAAGTAAGGAAGCTGCATGAAGGACAGAAATAAATGTCCTCACGTAGAAGACCTACTCATTTATTTATGTGCCCCGTCCCTGCTGGATAGCCAAGGTTAGCTGAGGGACTCTCATATTCAGCAGCAACACAGCAGAGAAGGTTCAATTATCTGTAAGTAGTTGTTCTGAAACAAGTGCAGCAAGAGTAGTGAATCTGAACCCAACGGCCACTCTGAATTAGGGCTGTCAAAATGACTGAAAAACTAAATTCAAATTTTCCACTTAAATATGATCAAAATTAGAATTATGTTTGAATTTAAAAGGCATAATTTCAGTTAGGGGGAAAAAAAGCTGCTACGTCAGCTGCGGCGCTGCTACGTTGTTCATTCAATATATTGCGGAAAATGAGAGAATCAGTGTGGCGAAGATGTTGTTTACATCAAAACTGAAAACAAGCCGTTCACACAGAACGCATATTTATCACATTTTCTAGCGGGGCATCTATCAGCGTTGCACTCGCGACTCACAGAGAGCGGCATGTTTAGAAAGCCATGTAAAATTAATGTAAGTTCAACTTTTAAAAAACATGTCTCAAGACGTTATGGCGGTTTTTCCCCATCCCACTGTATCTCGTGTTTTTAAATGAAGAAAATAGCCTACTCTTTGTGATTGGTTTTCGGTCCTTTGTATTAAACTATACATACATGCATGGTGTTGGTCTAATTGGTTAAGCAGCTTTATTAATTATATAGGTTGTTGATGAGTGTGTCAGATGAGAGCATGCTCTTCTGAAGGGAAGCGGAAACATTAGAAAGAGGAAGATGAAATTTAATGAACAGTTTTGAAAAAAAAGAAGCTTGTTTATGTTTAGGATAAACCTAGGATGAATGAAATGTGACATGGTCTTTGTACAGATTTTTTGGCATATCTGTCTCAGATCTGTTTGGGAAAGTGGATCAGGAAAAAAAACAGTTTTTACAAACCCAATCCAAATGACATTCATATGACATTCACCGTTTGAAATCCAATTTTTCTAATGAAATCCGAATAGTCAGATTGAATTTCAGGTAGTTTCTTGTATCATTCAGGACTGTAACGTCATATGCAAATCCTCAATTAATGTACTATGTAGTGAATGGACATGCATGACTGTGTAAGTTATGTAATGCCTCATGAGTTAAAGAAATCTCATTGTGAATATGAGCAGAGACAAAATGTTCAGTTTTCCGTCCTCTCATTTTAAAGGAAGTTTTCCTGAAAATGTACTCACCCTCAGGCCATCCAAGATGTAGACGAGTTTGTTTCTTCATCAGAACAGATCGATTTAACAGATTTGGAGATGGTTAGCATTACATCACTTGCTCACCAGTGGATCCTCTGCAGTGAATGGGTGCCGTCAGAATGAGAGTTCAAACATCATAATAATTCACAAGTAATCCACACGGCTCCAGTCCATCAGTTAATGTCTTGTGAAGTGAAAAGCTGCATGTTTGTAAGAAACAAATCCATCAAGATGTTTTTCAGGAAATTTTAATTTTTGGATGAACTGTTCCTTTAAAATGACTGTTGCAAGATAGGATCGAACTAGAGTCGTTCACATAGGCAGCATGGCTCAACATGCCAGAAGACTTGCACTAATTGCTAGTGTAGAGTCTAGTCCCTCAAAAAGCCACAAACTGCAATTTTCCTTTTGGTTTGACTCTGTTAGGATTAACATTTGTCTTCATTTTCATATTTTTCTATTTTTGTTAATCTGTATGTCTGCTCTATTCTGGATTGGAGAAGGATGGGTCAATACTTCATACGCAGACACTACTTGAGTCAGCACAAGTATGATTCATGATTCTTGGATGGCTAGTTAATAATACTCTATGTGTGTGTGCTTCAGGCTCAGTTGGTGGACCTGCGCTCGGAGCTGACAGATGTCCAGGCGGAGAAGGCTGTGGTGGAGAAGGAGGTTCATGAACAGCTTCTTCAGCTCCACGCCATGCAGCTCAAACTCCAAGCCAAAGGCGGACAGGCGGTCGACTCTGACTCCATCAAGGACAGGATGGTGAGCACAGCACCACATTCCTACAAATGTAGCAGAACCAAGACTAGGTTTTATATCTAGATGAGTTACTGAAAATTGGCTTGTAGGACACCTAGATCAATTTGTTAGCATTAAGGCCACCTGGATCTTCAAATCATTATGTGGTCGAAAGTATGTGGACACCTGATCACTGAACATCTCATTCCAAAACTATTGGAACTGTTATAACAGTCACCACTTTTTTTGGAAAGGCGTCATTTGTTGTTGTGACACTAATAGAGGAATTTGCTTCCATTGGGGGTGTCAGTGAGGTCTCTGATGTTAGGTGATTAAGATGAACTAGTTGACTGGGATTTTGAACAAGCCAATCAAGTTTTTCCAGGCCCATCTCAAAAAAGCATTAATAAATGATCCAGGAGCCTGTTTTGCATACAGGACTATTGTCATGCCGTTTAGCAAACAAGCCACAGACTATCACTGTGTGCTGTAGGTTTAGTTTTCCATTCACTGGAATTGATGCCTCAACCATCCCTATGTGCGAATATCCATATTCCATGTTACACCGTATGAGCATATACATTTTTGCTGAAGATTACATTTAACAGTGTCACTAAGTTATTAGTGTTTTTAAAGTTTAGGTAATGACAAAGGTTATCTTACACTTGCATGTCTTCAGGGATTACATGGCTGTATGCTTCAGTTTATTCAGCCGTAAACAACGAGGTGGCTATAATAGCTCGGTCCAATAATTAGTACGTGTGTCTACATACTTTTGACTGTGTAGCATAGCTGTGACATTTGATGGTGTTGTAATAGCAGTATCTGTAATGAACACTAACAGGCTCTGGTTGGGTTGGCACTCTACTCTGTCTTCCTGACTTAACCCTGCTGATGTAAGGATGAACGATGATGCTTCTGTAACCGGCCTTCCTGTTTAACCCTACTTCTCTAACCTTTGACCCTCTGTTTTTCTTCTCAATCTGAAGCCTGTGCCTTCAGTGGAGGACAAGGTAAGTTTTGCATTGTTTTGAGTCCGTGTGTGTCCCGTCTAACTCCACTTTTTTCCTATGTTAATGCTGCCTGCTTTAACCATCCCTAATGAACAACTGATCTTTTTGTGTACTAGTAGATTAGCTGCTAGAAGTGAGTGATATATTGGTAGCCGATACGTTATTCACTGAAACCTTGGAAAATTGAACCAACTGATGGAGTTAAAATGAAAAAGTAAAACAACCAGTATCGGCCACCACAAGCTGTTGAGGTGCGGCTATTTTCTGGTATTGGGCGAAATTTTGTGGGCGATATCCAGTATTTTAAATAGGAATCTGCAAGATCATGAATTTCACATGAGGGCGAAAATGTTTCTTTCGCAGATTTCGCTCGAGTTCAAGTTGGTCACACGAATTCATCACGTTGACCAAGAGAAAGCTGATTGGTTTGAAAATGACTCGTTACACTTTTGCCAATAGACTTTTTGACTGTGAAATTTCACTGAAATATCGGTAATGTGACCACACCTTTAGTCATTGGTACAAGCCGATCCATATCAGCCCTGAAGTTCAGTATTGGGACATAGCTAATGCTAGATGTGTCTTTTTTTCACTCCAGGGGTTGTAACAAATGAAGAGATGTCAATCAAGTGGCTTCATTTCACACTATTGGTGAACTTGTAGTAATTATGATGTTAAATCTACATTTGTTACAATTCCCTAGTATGTGCACACAATTAGTGGTATGTTTAAGCTAGAGTGTTTGTTTGTCCTGTGATCTCACCTCACCTGTCAGATGTACTGTTGTGAAGTTATAGTTTTTGTGGCGACGTAGGACTTCTGTTTCTTGTCCTATTGGGCAGCATGTTGGAAAGGCTGTTAATGACAGTGATTTGATGTGACTCTGCTGGGATGACGTTAGGGATGTAACGATTCACTCAACTCCCAATGCGATTTCCTTTGTTACTGCTGTAAACAAAGCAGCGCAGCGCTTATGAACACTGCTTTAATATGAAAGTGACGTGACGTGTGTCCCATATTCTGCATTCAACCCATCCAAGTGCACACACACAGCAGTGAGTAGTGAACCCTCAGAGATTCATTCATATAAAGTCCTACCCCCAACTGTATCACGATTCGTGTAATATCTCAACTGTTTAGAATCATCACATATTTGTATCGACTTTTAACCGGCTTGCTGTGCATCGTTACATGCCTAGATGAGTATACATATTATGGCCAGAAGGTTTGGTGCTCAACTGCTCACCTCTTGCCTTTGTTTGATTACATGTCACAGGAGAAGGAACTGGAGGCCAGTAAGAAAGAAAAAGTGAAGGAGGCCAAGTTGGAGGCAGAGGTGAAGATGTTGAAGAAAGAGAACGAGGCCCTCCGCAGGCACATTGCGGTACTACAGGCTGAGGTGTACGGAGCCAGACTGGCGGCCAAGTATCTGGACAAAGAGCTGGCTGGGAGGTAAGAGGCCGCATTGTTCATCTGTTCTGATTGACCATTATGTGGGTTTCATGTGGCGATTTCTTCCACATAAAGAGCCACGATTGGCACAGAGTTCTGGGTGTCAGTTTAAACCTGAATGCTCTTTATTATTCAGGGTGCAGCAGATCCAGTTGCTTGGGCGAGACATGAAAGGACCGGCTCATGACAAACTGTGGAACCAGCTTGAAGCTGAGATTCACCTTCACCGCCACAAAACGGTGATCCGAGCCTGCAGGGGGCGCAATGATCCCAAAAAACCCTTGCCATCACCTGTGGGGCATGTAAGACAACACATTCAGTTCATTTAAGGTGAACTTGAGGTACATTAGAGTAAACTTTGACTAGACAAGATAATGATGTGCCTTTAGGGAATTTCACCCCAGAATCAAAATGAGAAGTTAAAGATTTCTAAAATTTGCATTTAATTCTTTTATTTATTTATTTCAGGGCTATTATTGCTAATTAAAACTAAAACCATAAAAAACATCAATAGAAATACAAAAAATAACCTAAATGAAACAAAATATAAAAAAATCAAAACTTACTTTCAGTTAGTTGCCATATTTACATTTCTTATTTTCATTTAGCTTAAGTACTAAAATAACTAAAACAAAACAAAATTATAAAATCTTAAACTAAAATTAAAATGAAAACAGAAAACATAAAAATAAAATGTAATTAAATCAATGATACTAAAATAACATTTTTATTTTTAAATATTAAATAAAATTGAGCATTAATCAATAAAAATAAAAATTAATTTTTATTTTTCTTTTATTTATTTAAAAATATATAATTAATATTAATTTAAAAAATAAAATGTTAAGGCCATTAAGATTTTTTTGCACTGACAATCGAGAATCGAAAATTATATTTAAATGTTAATATTGACTTAGCCTTTAAAAGTATATATTTAAATTATTAATATATTTTGGATATATTAAATATAAAGTTAAGATTTTTCAAATATTAATATTGATATTAAATTTAAACTGATATAAAATATAAAATTGTAGTCTTTAAAATTATACATTTTAATATATTTAAATTAAATAGACTTAAATATATTAAATAAACTATATACTGCCAGTCACGAGAATTAGATTTTTCCACAGAACAGCTGGCTACTATAAATATGAATATAATGTCACAATACAAATAATGTAATAGTCTATGAAATAAGCTGAATTATTTATATGCTATATTATTTGTTTGTTTGATTTTGTGGTGAACTATTTTCATGTGATTCGTCCTTGATTATGCATATTTATAAATGTATATTTACCTCTCCAGGATACAGATTCTCTGAAAAAGACTCAGGGAGTCGGCCCTATACGCAAAGTGGTTCTGACCAAAGAAGATCATGAAGGACTTGGCATCTCCATTACCGTGAGTTCAACCTTTGATTTTATATGCAGGCTAATTCATCTGGTTTCAGTGGATGAATCACTGTGTGTTCCAAGATCAAAGTCCTGGTTTGATGTTTGCATTGGAATTTATACAGGGCGGGAAAGAGCATGGTGTTCCCATCCTCATCTCCGAAATCCACCCCACCCAGCCTGCAGAGCGCTGCAGAGGACTGCATGTTGGAGATGCCATCTTAGCCGTCAACAACATCAACCTGCGAGACGCAAAGCATAAAGAGGCTGTCACCATCCTCTCACAGCAGGTGAGAGACACACTTCAGTTTGCAGCCCGGCGGGGGGGCTGTCAGATCAGGCTTAGCATATGACCTATAACTTATTATTAGAACCATGTTTTAATCCCATCCTAACACCTGCAAAGAACCTCCCAAAGGTTAAGACTCTCTGTAATTGGGCTTGTGAGGTGTAATTACTAATAGTTTGAAGAGAACATAACGGTTAAAGAAGAGTTCACCCAAAATTGTCATTTCCTCAGCCTCATGTTCCAAACCCATTTGAATTATTTTCTGTTGAACACAAAAGGTGGTCACTCTTTTCAGTTTAATTAAAGTGAATGAGGACTTGGACAAAACAAGCACCATAGACGAATCATAAGTGGTTTATATGACTCACGCGCATGTCTTCTGAAGTCATATGATAGCTCTGTGTGAGCAACCGAAGGTTATATTTACCTCACATTACAAACACAACTGACATGTTTACACACACCCACACGTCCAGACATTCACAGGTTTTTTTTCTGCAGAGGGGGGAAATCGAGTTTGAGGTGGTTTACGTGGCTCCAGAGGTGGACTCTGATGATGAGAATGTGGAGTATGAAGATGACAGCGGACACCGCTACCGTCTGTACCTGGACGAGCTGGAGGAGGCATCAGCAGCCAGTCACAACAATGGCACTGCCGACCCCGCTTCCCTACAAGGCAAGTGCATTAAAGGGTTAGTTCACCCAAAAATGAAAATTAGCTTGTGTTTTACTCACCCTCGAGGCATCCTAGGTGTATATCGGCGGATGACGTCGGCGTAGCGTGATAAGTGACGAACGCGGAGAGAGAACAAAACAAAACGCCGGTTACGAATTAGAAGTACAAACCGAGGATTTGCAAAGAAAAATGTCAGAGGATTTTGATATAAACCAAGAGGAGACTGGCTTTCCTTTGCTAAAGTAATGAAACTTTGCCTCCTTTGCTCCTATAAACAAACTCGCGAGACTAGCATATCTCAGAGGCGCGCGCGCCGCGCATACGTGCTGCGTCATCCGCCGGAACGGCTTCCGCGTACGACAGATACCGGAAGTGAGAGAAAAGTGTTTATTACTTTTGAAATAATGAATTCACTTTCTTCCAGTCGAAGAACAGTTTTTTTTACAGCATTTATTAATCTGTGTAAACTTATAAGTATACTGTTGTTCATTCTTTGTTTGCTCACAATATATTAATATTGCATTGTAATTTATTTCATACATTTTGTTATTTATCTTTGATGCTAAGGCAATAAATATGAATAAATAAATAATAAAATAAAAGTAATAAATATTAATAAATAATTAACGCTACAATAATATTAATGTTACTTTAAAATACAAATTTACAGCATTTATAAATATATGTAAATTTATAAATATACCATTGTTGTATTTCAGCTTATACTATTGTTGATTGTCAATTCATGGTAGTAATTTTTCATTAATTGTATTTTTTTTTATCTTTGATGCTAATATATGGCAATAAGACAAATATGAATGAATGAATAATGTTATATATAAAATAATGCTAACTAATAATATTAAAGTTAATTTAAAATACATTTTGAAACATTAAAAATGTATTAAGTAATATTAACCTGTTATTAACTGTTAATATTAACTGTTTGGGGTCTCTAAGATTTGTTCTTATATTTATAAAAAGAAGTCTCTTATGCTCAACAAGGCTGCATTTATTTGATCAAAAATATAGTAAAACAGTAATATACAGTATCTCACAGAAGTGAGTACACCCCTCACATTTTTGTAAATATTTTATTATATCTTTTCATGTGACGTTTTAATATTTTAATAAAACAGTAATATTGTGAAATATTATTACAATTTAGAATAACATTTTTCTATTTTAGTATATTATAAACTGTAATTTCATCCTGTGATGGCAAAGATTAATTTTCAGCATCATTACTCCAGTCTTCAGAGTCACATGATCCTTCAGAAATTATTCTCTGATATGCTGATTTGCTGCTCAAGAAACATTTCTTCTTATTATTAATGTTGAAAACAGCTGTATTGCTTAATATTTTTGTGGGAAACGTGATACATTTTTTGTATTTTTTGTTAATAGAAAGTTTAACTTAACAGCATTCATAAATGTCTTTACTGTCACTTTTGATCAGTTTAATAAAAGTATAAATTTCTTTAAAAAAAAAAAATCTTACTGACCCTTTTGCACTGTACTGTATGCAATGATATTGTTATAGTCTATGCAGCAGTTTAATCATAAAAACCAAAGCCTAATGGAAAATTGTGAAGTTGATCTAAACTGACCAATGGTTTGTTTTCTCCTCACAGCTGTAGGGAAGCACTTAGTGAACAACAGAACAGAGAATGGAGATGCCGCCTTGTCCAGTGAATGCCCCTCAGACGACAAGACCTCCAAGACAGCAGAGTCTGGAGAGAGTTCCTCCTAGATTTCCAGACTAACAGAAGGATCCTGGAGACGAGAGAGAGAGGAGCGTCAGGCGCAGAGACAGAGACCAGAAAGAGATTACGTCTGCACATGTATAATATGTAACATACCAGATTCTTCTTGTTTTATGCCGTTTGGAGAACAGACTGCTTCAGCGTCCACTGGAGATGGATGAACCACTGAGAAACACTGAGAGAAGAGGACATAATGTTACTCAGTGGCCACAAAGGATTGTTTGCAAATGTATGTCACCATCTTGCTTTATAGTTGTAAAGAAACAATGACAATTTACATAGACGAGTAAAGTGATGGGATGGAATTATATGATATAAGAGTTTTGATTCTTGATTTCCTCTTTTGTGTGACCTCTCTGTGCATTTAATGACCCTCCGTAGGTGAGCTGAATATGAGCTCAAATGTAGGGCTCCTACTTTAATGATTCACTCTTCTTCTCTTGTACTGAAGTAGATGTTAAAACAAACTACCGTTTGCTCAAAATGTACGCACATTGTTTTTAACCTCTCTGTTTTAGCCTAATGTGATCCTGTACTTAGCTGTCCTCTGCTCTAAAGCAAAGGCAAACAGGATGATGCTACTTCCTGTTTTGCACACAGGGTGGTCAGTAGGTGACGGGGACAGAAACGACACAGCGTGTTTTTCTAATAGTGCACATCCATGTGCTTTCATTTCTTTGCTTACTTCACTGCAAGAACAGAAGTGGAGAGGTGCCATTTAGTTGAGCTACAATGAATTTTGATGTGGATTTCATAGAAGAGATATCCAGGTCATATTTTACCCCAAAGAAAACAATATACA